TTATCGAGACACTTGACAGTACTTACCATTTTCAAGAGTCTGTTGCAAGGGCGTGATCAATATAGGGAAATATTTTTGAGACCGAGGTAAATATTTCCCTATACGGAGCGACTAAACTGGTAAATAATAGATTAATTTTTTTCTTGCGGTCTGAATTCATATTTTAGCGTTTCGTTAGTGCTTTTAAATCTCGCGCGGTCCGTACGGCCTCATACGTACCGCTTATACTGACCATTTTCAAGAGTCAGTAGCATAGGACGTGAAAAGCGCGATTATTTGCGAATGTATTTACATATAGTATTTATTCAGTTCTTCCCGATCCATTATTCCAAAAGCGTTATTTTCTAAACACAAAATACAGCTGCAAATCTATTCCTACCTACAATCGATTTATTTTATAAAGCTCCTGTGGACCAATTTTTTTTAATTTTGTAATATAGTTATAATATGCCACAACTGTTAGGCAAATATGTAAAAATTATTTCGTTCTGATCAAAATATCACAAGGACCGAAAAGGCCACGATTAATCTGTAACGAGATTTTGAAACCGCTGTTTGATATGAGACAATAAAAAGATTTTATCATTCTCTTTGAACACTTGAAGACCTTGATATTTTCCAGTGTATATAAAGCGTGGAACAGATCTGATTCTATTAAATTGAGAAACGTGGTTGTTACTTAGTTCCAATTAAGCGTACGTATACAACTGAAATATCATATGTAAAATAAATTATTCGTTTTGAAGAGGTACTTTACTTGCAAATGGATGTTACACAATTGGTATCGAATAATTAGTAGGCAGACCCTGTTTCTTGCCCTCTTTAATGAGTTTATTTCGGCGTATAAGACATGCATAAGGCTTCGTTTTAAAAAGCAAGCTAATTCCAAGCATTGCCATTGGGCAAAGAATCATTGCATCATCAGGGCGTCCATGAGAAGCTGAATTTCATTATGTGTGTTTATTCATATGGGGTGCGTATAAAAACTTCCGCCCTCTGATTTAAAACTTCTAACATCTGCTCTGTTGCATGCATGACCATGTATATTATTAAAAAATCAAATTTCGATTTTTCATAGAAAATAGCTTTTATTGTGCTGGTACTATAATGTGCGCACTGTGTCATGTAGAATATTGATTTTGTATTGCTTATCAAACACCTCGTGAATTGATCCAAATCATTTGCGGTATATTCCTATATAGTTTGTAATAGGGATATGATATCATAACGGAAGGATGTACTAGTTTGAAAATACGCACGAAAATACAAAGGTGTTTAAAAACACTCTACTCGGAAGCCCCTGAACATAATATCTTTGTTCCACCCACACTTATAATATTTTATAAAGCTGAATTAGTTTCACTTGACTTTTACTTAATCAGCTACAGTCGAGTTATTATCAAAACCAGAAGAAATGGGTAACACTTTGTTATTTCTTTTCGCTAGTATTTTTTGTATGATCAGTCACGGCGAAGCAATCTGTTGTGGAGAAATCAAGTCGATAGTGGACAAGAAGATTGAGGCAGAAAAAGTGCTGTGCGCTCCAGGAAACAATCTCCCTCCAGGCTGTTGCAGAGATATTTTGAAAGCAGTTGAAGAGTATAGTGCTGCATATGAAGCTATTTGTGTGAACAATACAGGTACTGTGCAAATATAGTGGTTTCTCCCAGTGGCGGATCTAAAGATGTGCAGAATAAATTACTACAGCTTAAAACCAGAATCGCATTGGTAGATTTTAATGAAAAATATTCTTTTCAAATCTATAACCAATAGCGTTGTTATTAATGTGTTTTGAATTAAAAATCAAGCTGTGTAATTTATTCTGCACACCCCTAGATCCGCCACTGGTTTTTCCGGTATGTATATGCGTGTGTATTTTGCTCACAACTTTAGTTGCAACCTCTCGCTGATTTAACATAACCCCGTTTACACTACGCGCGATATTTGGTACCGCACGGACAAAAGTTCCGGCCATGCAACTTTTACAAGTACTTGCAAGGACTACTTAAATAAAAAGATATAATTTTAGAGTATATTTTGCTTAATTATAATTTGCCGAAAAACTCTTTCGACAACGCTCCATTTTCGAATTCGAACATGGGTTAATTTTAAGGTATAGTTGGGGTTGTTCAATGTCCGTGATTTCTGGCGATGAATGTCTTTTTTGCTTTTCCCCCGAGCCGGCGCGAAGTGCCGTGCGAGGGTTCTAATCCCACCCGGAGATTAGGAATTACACTCGGGTATTCTGACAGAACATAGGTGAATCCAAAGTTGCCCAAATGTCATGGACGTTCAATGGTCATGGTAGTTGTTCGCATGCGCGAAATTTGAACGAAGAAAGAACGGTCGTCTACAACTTGCTGATTGGCTAAGACAAAAAGAGAGAATGCATGAGAGCGTCAGCATTTTAACTGTCATTTTGCAAACTATTTTTTTAAAAATATAAAATTTTAAAACAATAATAAAAGATTTAAAGATCATCACAGCACAGAAACAGTTGGTGAAATAGGATTGGCTCGTAGTTTATAATCTTTGAAGTAGTAGGTGTCTATTTTTACTTATTCAGTGTTTGCTGTAAGAATGCATTGTTATTTTGACAAGTACGAGCTTGGTATGTCGTTTTACAAGCAGCTAACCGACCGTTTAAGGTTTTATATCATCGCTTAAACTTTAAAAAGAGTTCTTGGCATTTTGAATAAAATAAAAACTTATAAGTGCGAGTGAGCTTTTACATGTATATATACATGTATATCATCAAATACATCTTATCGGAGTGCTTTTTAGTTAAATGTTTTAAAAAATCTTTATTGATTTTACTGTTTTGTTTCGATAATTCTCGTATTTGCTTACACTGTTAATCCGTTAGCGAAAGTTGCCTATCTTCAATTTGGAAGATAGTCGTCGATGACCCAGCTTTTTTTCGCCCGCGAATATAATTATGGTATTTATAAAGAAGGCCAATCATATTTTGAAAACCAACTTTTTTCTTCTAGTTCCATGCATAGACCCCAAGCCATTGGGAATGCAAAGCGGCAAAATACCCGATTCGGCTATCACAGCATCGTCAACCTTTGGTAGTTCTTATTACCCTTACTTCGCAAGATTGAATAAGACTGGCAGTTCTTGTTGTTGGGCACCAACTGCAGCAGGAAGAGTTGGCTCGTGGTTACAAGTTGATCTTGGACAAAACACAACTGTCACAGGAATTTCAACTCAAGGAACATGTTATAGCCATGTAGAGTGGGCGATCTCTTACTCGATTTCTTACAGCAACAATGGTGGTACTTGGACTCTTTATGAAGAGTCCGAGACTGCGAAGGTAATCAGATAAACAAAACATATATTTTGCAATTCGCTTTGGCTATCCACATGCTCTTCCATTAAAATTTAATGAAATTTAAAATTTCGCGTGGGTCGTATAATTATCAACCTTACTATAATATTACGTGCATGCATGCATGATGGTCAAATGGAAGTTTTTAAGTAGTAATTTTATAATATTATTTAAAAGTGTTAAAAAAGTGATTAAAAACGTTATAACATTTTAAAGGGGCTATTTGTTTCTATGTTAACGTGGAATTACGCGTAATATATAAAGTGCATGCTCGTGAAGTTTTAATATGGCAGTGTTTAGGACGTGACTTTTTTGCTTAAACTGCATAAAGCAAATACTTCCACACGGACTTAAGCGCTAAACATTGCATTGTTGTCCCTCAGTACGGGTGGAAAAATGCCGCTTTGGTTGCATGGAAAAGTGTTACATATAATTCACCAAAGTTTATAAATTTTAATAAAACTAATCCTTGTGTTTTTTTGCAGGTTTTTCAAGGCAACCAAGACCGAAACTCCATTGTTACCCACACATTTAAAACTGGAATCAAAGCTCGATACATTCGTGTGTTGCCGAAATCATGGAAAAACTATCCTACAATGAGACTCGAGTTGTACGGTTGTTACTGAGTAGAACGAGCATGAAATTTCCCAATAGTTGCTTAGAAGCGGTAATCACAAACTGGTTTAGCTTTAATTTGCAGACTAGCTTGCATGTTTCATCTAATAACTAAACAATAAATGAAATATGCATATATTGTTTTAATTTTATTATATGGCAAGCGTCCCTTCTGGTGAAATGGAGCTCAGTGATTGGCTGAAAATAACTTTGATTGGTCTATTACTTTTCCGTAATGGACCGGCACTTTCTTTGTCTCTGAAGATTTTGTACTATTTCAATCGTTTGAAACCATTCGATTTTAAACCATTACTTAATTGCTGCCAAGGTATATTCTAGGAAAATTGAACGGGCAATGTATACACTGGCTTTATGATTATTTTTGTGTTGAATGATGGAAACATTAGCTATAATATATACTCGGTAAAATATATATAATAAGACTGATTTGAGTTTTGTGTCATTTCATGATATAAAATCAGGTCAGGTTTGCTCAGGAAATTGTGTACTTGGTTTGAAATAGCGAGGGGTTGCTGCATGCATGTATTTCTAGTATGATATACGACTAAACTGCGTTACACTAAAGGTAGTTGCCCGAAGGTTAACTAATCTAATCATGTAGTTATCTTGCGTGGAGCTTCCGTGGGGTTGTAAAACATTGAAATAGCATGAAGTATCACAATATTATTGACCGCTGCTATAGATTTTGAACAAGACTGAGAACTCGTATTAACAAAATTTAACAGTATTTTGATCGAAAATGTCTTTAGAAATGCAAAAAAGAGAGGGAAAAGTTCGAAAAATGTCTTAATGTTTTTTCTCGCTCGTCAAAAGTTCAACAGGCCATTTTTAACTATGTTTTGAAAACTTAACTATGCCCTTAAGGAAAGTTCACTTTAGCTAGATTTTAACTACCGCTAACGCTAACTACGTCATTATACAATCGGCTTAACTACGTGAATAAAGTTAAAACGTAGTTAAAACGTAGTTATAAGAGTTTTGTGCAGCAGGCCCCAGGCCCGATTACTCTCAACATGAGCTCCACTTCTAAATTTATTATATCAATAAATTCTTAAACACATCCGAAATTACTAAAACAATAATTTCGCGACGCGTGGCCGAGCATTATGAAACGGAAAGAAACTGGGTCAAAACCAACTCAAATCTTTCACAATGGCGGAGAATTTTGAAAGGGCTGCCAATGCTCGCAAGAAGAAACTCCCTTCCATGGATTGTCTTATTAGGCAAGGTAATGATATTTTAGAAAAGCGAAAAAAGAGAAGAAAGCCTATTCATTATGAGTATAGCACGGATCCAAAAACTGGCCAACGGAGTTGCAAAAATACTTACAATCCAAAGTATTATAATCGCGATGATACCGCCTCTAGTTCAAGATCAAAAAACTTAGAGGAACACAGCGATAATATTTTCCAAGGTATGCTTCTGTTTGTAACATTTTACACAGAACCTACGCCAGATAGGTCCCATCATTCGGATGATTTATTATTTTGTCACTTTTTACGTAGAACAAGAACCACCAGAAGTAAGTTTATTGGATCGTGAATCAGATATGGATGTAACGACAAACGCTGTAGAGGGTATGGATCTAATATAAATATGTACAATTACAACAGCTAAAAAATGCTGTGAAGTTTTTAATCCGCTTTGTTGACATTTTTGAACCGCTATTGTAAATATGATGTGCTAAAAGTCAATATTTATTATCTAAACAACGTTCGATAGCTTTGTGTCCTCTGTGACTACTGACTAGACATTATACACATGCTGCCACATTGCTAGATTGGCTGTGTGCAGGGAAGATTGTGACTCATCATTCACACATATTGCAAACTTTCCAATATGGATACTGTTTATGCATTTATATATTGGAATTTAAAGACCCTGCTACTTTACAAAACTTGGTTTATCGAATGTATATTAAACTTAATGGTGTAATATGGTGTACAATGATTTTGTGGCATTCTACCTAGCAGCTCATTTTTAAAGCAGTATCATCGATTTTGTTTAGATGTGACAATGAATGATATCCTTGAAGAAGCAAAAGGATTATTATGTAACTGGAAATGTGGTGGTCAGCAAAAGAAACGAACCTGGCATGAAAGACAAAATTCCCTTTATGAAAGCTGGGAGGAAGTCAGAAGTAGTTTAATCGAAGTTTTGCTGCAAACTAAATTTTCCATTGGCATTTTTGATGAATTGTTATGCGAAAGCTGTAAAGATGCCATGGCAGTTATTGGATGTCAAGACTGCATTTCACATAGATATGTCTGTGGGGATTGTGATGAGGAGAACCATAAGAACCATCCATTTCATGATCGAGATGCAATTTTGAATGGTTTTCATGAACCTATTCCTCCAACAGCCTCAATTAACAGCAAACTGGAATGGATTACTGTTGGTAAATATTATAGCATGGCTAAAAAGATGTAACTTATACCTTGTGTCAAAAGGTGCATTGTGACCGTGATACTCTCAAGATGCTCTTTAAATATGAAATTTAGCATGATCTATTTAGCATTTATGTCAAACCTAAAGTTCATTTTACATGAGTAAATATTCATTGGCAAATTTTCTCATAAAAAATTTTATTAGGTCTTTTTCAAATAAAGAAACACAGAAACATATTTGTCACATGAAATTTGTAAAAAAAATTGACCAGTCAGTATTATCTTTGTATTATCTCAGCATCTTTGTGAAACTCTAGGTGTGAGATAATGTTTTCCCTTGGTAGGAAAGTTCTGCCATTTTTAGAGGGTTCTTCAAACAGTTTCTGAAAATATATGAATTGTCTATGTATTTTTTAGAACGGTCCCTTCCATTTGGTGATGTTATTTGTCCCACATGCCTATTTCCTTGCAATATTTTATATGATGAGAAGGGTATGGGTTGCATTGCTGTAACATTGAAAGGTATGCTATTTTAGTTGTCTTTTTTATTCACAAAAACATTGTCTTTCTGAAATAGATTCTATAGTTTTATACTGTAGCTATAAATGATACATTATGTAGGCTGAACCTAGCTCCTGCAAGATTCAAACCAGATGATGCTATTCAGATAGGCTTTATAGGCCAAATGTTGATCTCTATCATGGAACTCAAAACTTATATTTTTGTGCTAATTGGTTAAATATTTATTATTATATCTTCAGGTAGATTCGACATTAGTCACACAAAATATGAATGTAAACAATGTGACAATGTTATTTCATCAACAAGTCCCCATGTTTTAATACAGCTGGGGTTTTGGCCTGGAACTATTCGTGACATGACATATGTATTTCACCAAGATCTCTTTCATTTCTGGGATAATTTACAGAAGATTGTTCCTGGAATTTCTCAAAATAGTTTTGTGAAATCACTAGAAATGTTTTCGATACAAAAAGGGCGGGTACGTTTAAACCAACTTCTAAGTATCAACTTCAATGTATCGCTTCATGCAAAAAATGGAATCCTGTTCTTTTATGATTATGTTTGCTAATTGCCTCAGTAGTTAAATAGTTGTACAGATATTAGTTTGATGTATCTTTCTCTATCTTTTATATAGATGGGAACAATTAACAGCAAAACATTTGGTAGCTCTTTTCGTGAATGGAAATATTGCCAATATGAATTGAACAAACTACGGCATATTAACTGGATGGAGTGCCCTGCATGTGAACAGCAGCAACACTCCGTTCACATGGATGGTAACATGAAACTTTATCGGTACAAATCTGCTGGGATGTAAGTACATTTTGTACACTGAATCACAGACGATGCATTGCAGGAATGCACTAGCTTGGAGGGAAATCGTCAGCTCATATACAACTGAAATGCGTCTTGTATATCACCTAGAAAGAGTTTCAAAGTTATTTCATCATATGTATGTTTTAAAGAGGATAAATTGAAATTATTTAGCAGGAAAAGAGATTGCTACTATGGAGATGCTTTTATTGCTTCAAATGAAAAAGTTCAACATCATCTCTGTAAAATTTACAAAAAAGGAAAGGAAAAGGTATTGTTACAATTTGTCTTCTCAAACAATACGAATTTTCGTTTACCTCAAAACAATTATAGAACAATAGTCCCATTAAATATCAATGTGTGACATTTGGTGTGGGAAGTTTCTGACCGTAATGCTATGATTTGTAACAAATATTTAGATTATTTTTATACCAAGTGGATCTACTGTACGTATAAAAATAATCTAAAATCGAGCTGTTTCAATTCGGCTATACTTTACCCTAGGTCACAGATGATTCTAAGTGTGGCGATTCTATTTGGCATGCTGCTGGAAATACTTTGAAGAAAAAGAAAATTGTTGATGAAACTGGGCTAGAAATTGCTGGCTGTCGTCACAGTGTTGCCCAGCATGCAGTTAGCATGAACACGGAGAAGTGTATGGCTATGCACATTATATGCAAAAGGAATATTACCTTCGTCGTACAACACAATTCTTCTGGTATGATGTCATCTGCAAGTATTGGCCTTGGCTGTGTAAAAATGATGTAACCACATCTCAAAAGATGAAACCTGCTCTTTCCGTAATGCATGCCAAAGCACATGCTTGGTATTGCCAGGTAAATTTCCTTGTGCTTATTATATTTCGTACGTGGCAAGTGTGCAGTCAAGTGCAGTGTCCATTGTGTAATCTTTTTTGCAGGTTATTTGGGGAGGGCGATGGCAAGATGGCGCTTCTGCAACAACAGGAGAGGAAGTAGAACAGATTAACAGTCATTTCTCGCGGTTAGGGTGCACTACCAAGCATATGTTACCTGAAGGTAAGCATGTGCAATAAAATTATCAAACCAGTTAAACGTTTAATTCTGATGTATGCATACATAGGACGAGAGGAATTGCTGACTGAACATGCACTGGAGTGGAATAAAAGAAAAATAACCAAACTGTCAAGTATTCTTGCGAAAAGATATACAAAAGTTATTAATTTTTCTATTTTTTACCTAATAGTAATAGTAACTATACCATAACAAGGGAAACCATAACAAGGGAAATTTCGTTTTAGACCAATCAGTAAGTTTGTTTACATTTTCAGTAACCCAATCAGAATAATCATCATTTTACATGATGTATTAAAAATTTAGGCATTCTGATTGGCTTAGCCTAAAAAGTGTAAGCAAATATGCCGAATAGTTTAAAACGAAATCCCCCCTTGTCACATAACATAGCTACAAATACTTTGCCAAATCCGTTTCGGTAGTTTTCGTCAAAAAATAAGACAGAAACAAATTTATTAAAAAAAAAGGTGTGGGTAGAAATTTAAAGCGTGGAGGATTGAAAAATATGTAGATGCAATGCAAATTTCCCATGCACGGAAAGGGGAGTACTGAAATGTATAATCTTCTCTTGGAAAAATAATAATGTGTTCTGTACTTTTATATGCATGGTTCTAGGCTAAAGATAAAACCGCCATCATGCAGAAAGAATTAGAAAGCATGTCAGAGAAACTTGAGTGTGATCCAACAACATTACAGAAATGGAAAGAAGATATATTTGACGCTGCTAAACGTACGTATAGAATTTTGTGTAGTTTTGTTCAGTTTACATGCAGTACATGATACTGTGGCGAATCTATTATTATAAATAATAAAACTAAAAACGTTAGGTATGCTCTTCTCAGAATGCGATGTCTTGGTGTAATTTTTTCGTGCAATGACGACGTGTTTCTTTTTTCTCTTTCAAATTTATGTCAGTGGATGAAAAATCGAGAAATAAAAGATATTCCATAACTCCGGAGGAAATGAAATACATATGTCATTTGCTCACATTAGATGTGTTAACGCCAAAAGAGAAGGCCTTGTTTGACGTTGCTGAAAAGATTTATAAGGAAAAATCTAAACAGTTTCAGCCCAAGATCTGTCGCAATTATTCCTTTGGTGAAGGTGTTTTAAAAAATAAATCTTTGGAATATTTGAGATACAATATGGAATTCCATCATAACGCGATCTCTCATCTGGCATTTAACATTGCAAAACTTGCAGGTGGTTCTACATTTAATAGCTACATTTTCAGTGTCTCTTCCTTTATTTCAGTAGTAACATTTAAAGCCAACGTTTCCGTGCGAGTAAAACACCCATAAAAAACGAAACCGCGGAAAATTAGCCTCCACATGCGGGATAAAGGGAAGGTAACATTTTAACCAAATATTATTTTCTTCAAGATTCTTCGAAGCAACGAAATAAGTTAAGGAGAAAGATCAGCAAAGAGAAAGAGAGTATCCATTCTTTGATTTCAAATTATAATCGAATTGCAGACGAACCGCTAAGCAACATAGAAGAAATTTTAAATGGAAAGTTTCCATGGAATTCTCGGAACGAGCCAGTTGATGAGTGTGAGTAGCTACTGTTTCTCGTATACAGACTGAGCCAGGCTTGCAAATAGAACTTGTACGTACATAATTATAAATTGCCGGACGCGTAGTACATTATATATGAATATATTGTGCCTTTCATACAATAGTGCCTTTGGTAACGAGACGATCTGTGGTGGATAAGTTGATGGAAATTCAACGGTTTCAGGAGGAAATCGAAGTTACTAAAAAGGAAATGTTCCAATACCTTGAATATTACACCAAGAAATGCCTTCCGGCACTTTATAGCGAACTTGCAAAATTGGAAAACCTGCTGCAAGGTAATTTTCCCGGTCACTTTTAGAATTGTGAAATATAGAGTATGTTTTCAGCGATCGATTGCAAAAAGCTTTTGTCCTTATTGGAAAAATGTAAATTATGTTTTTAAACTCTGTGAGCTGCGCGTCAAAGAACATAAGCAATATAACCTTGACTGAACTGCAGTCTATTCGGCTAAATGCAACAGATCCAAATTTTTATTGCAGGTGTAAAGGCTGGTTTTCATATAACGTAATTCTTTGACGATGGTTATTGTGTCGGTGGCCCTTGACATCTGAAAACCAGGCTTAAAATTATTTTTAATTTTCGAACATATAGGTAAAAGTCGCAGCCAATGTGGTGGTGAACAGCCTGTTCTTGCGGTGGAAAGTGCTGTGTGTGTGGTATGTTTTTCGGCGGTAATTACTTTGTAGGTTTAAAGGGTGATGAAGTACAATTTATGCATATTTGTGGATAGCCCATATCCTGAATCATGCAGTGAACATTTCAGCTACCATATTGTAACCATCTTCACGAAGCACGAAGTTTCTTGTATACGAGCAAAATGTTATGGTTGGAATTATACTGCATTACATGCATGGTGTATCAAAAAGCTAAAAACCTACGCCGTACATACCTTCTCATGGACGCACATTTTTTATTGTTTGGCCATTATGTAAGCTCTTGGAAGGTCTATTGGGTGTTAATTGTGTGTATCTAATGCGAAGATGCGATAATTTAAAAGTTATTTAGGTCCGCAATTTCCTTTTCGACATTTCTGTAAGCCACATCTGTAAGCTATGCGATTGCTTTTTATGTAACGTATATTGAAATCTTTTTATTTTAGGCAAAAACCTATTCTACAAGCTCAGTCAAAAGGACCATTGTCAGAGGAAAGCTTGCCTTGGTTAACGAAGGAATTAACTTTGCCATGCAACAATTAAGGCTTGGAATCCATCTTTTCTTGCCAGTT